TGCAGTTGTCAAGGCCTAAAAAAGTTTTTTTGCTCTGCATATTATGTTCTAATATCTAATAATATGTAAAATTTTGCCAATTATTTCAAAACCACCATGTAAAAATCTAAAAAAATTCTGCGGAAAATTGTGTACAAATATTATTGTGACATGATTTCGTAATTTAAACAGTGTTAAGTCTAACAGCTTAAAAGGATTCATTTGTTTTCCTCAGTATCTTAGTAGATACGTGAAGCAGTGGCGGCTCGTGACTCTTGAGTCAGGTGAGGCCACGAAATGGTACATTATAAGCGAGGTGGTAAATATGGCATTACCCCGAGTGCTTATGCTTATACGATCGAGAGGCGCCAGCCTCGAGATCGGATAAAGCACAAGGGGTAATGCCATTACCACCGAGGTTTGTATGCTATGTTATTCACAATCACATTATTTTCAGTCAAAAATTTGCTAAAATAAAATTATCACAAAGCTAAGGTCCAAAGGTGGTAGGCCATTCAAATGGCGTTTGATTTTTGACATTTCAGAAATGTCAAAGAAAATATTGAAATAATGTGTGAATCTGATTTAAATCGTCGAAATGGAGCAGTGTACTCCTCCAGAAGTAAGAGAAACTGCTATAAAAGCAATTGAATACTAATTTAGCAAAATATTATGCGTAACTTGACAATTTGGAAGAAAAAATCCCGGTATTTTTGTAATTTTAAGGTTGGTTATCCTGCATATTACCGCCCAAGAGAAGTAATATTATTACTCCTCATGAGATTTAATGATGTGCTTCCGAACCTTTAAAAGATTAGTAATCGGCATATTACATTAGTGATTGTGAATAAAAATAATTGCAGATGTTTCCATATCACCATTGAGGTAATCTGCCCAATTTCTGCTTTCCAAGAAGCAACGTGACGTCTATTAAATATGTCACTAGCTGCTTGTTTTTCCTAACATTCTCATTAAATAAAATTTTCTTTAAATAAAAATGCTCTTGTAATGCTTCGGCGACGCTAAGTACGTTTGTTTCAATTCTTTTCACAACCACGCAATTTTTTAAATGTTCTTGGGATGCATCATGTAACTTTACCCCACGTGAAAATTTTTTTAAACTTTTAAAACCTTCCCCGAACTCCACACATTTTTTACATTGCCGATCAACAGGCACGGCCAACAAAATAAACTTTCCATAAAAACGCTACCACATAACCAAGTATGACAAGCGTACCAGGAACTCTGAAAAGATCGCATATGTGAACCTGAAGTTGTGATTATACACAATCGTGGAGTATTAATTCCAGAATTTGTCGTTTTTCTATCTCGTTACGCCGCGAAAATGGAATATTCAACAACAGTACTACAGGATCGTGTTGAGAATTCATCTTACCTGCTTCTGATTCTTTGAGATGTACCTTTGCTTGATACAGTTCTACACTGATTACAATCAGTGTTGCCAGAATGTTGCAAACGACAGGTATCAAATGGAGGGGATAGAACGTACCAAAACAAAATAAAAAGTACCAACATTATATAAGTTTATAAGTAAATATAAATATCGAGTAAAAAACAGTCTTTATAAAACAAAAAAACAACTTCGTTAAAGAAAAATAAATAAAACAAAAAATATAAAATTCAACATAAATTCAAAAACAGTCATAACAAAAATAAATACATATTATTGCAGTTAGTATATGTATATATTTATAAAACAGAAACGCAACTTAAAGCAAAATCGTCCCCTTGAGACATATGAGACGAAATACAATACCTAATAATTAATTTTTGTTTTTGTTAATTCTGTTGAGGGTTTCCACTCAAAACAGCTGCCATTTTTTAATAATTCTTTAGCAACTAATAAAGCATTGCATTGCTCTGGCAACAGCCTATTTCTAGTTTTTGTTTTTATTAAGTTTAAATTGGAAAAAACCCTTTCTGCCGCGGCACTGCTGTGAGGCAGGCTCATTAAATTAAACACAAATTCACAAATGTTTTCAAAAATTCTTTCATTGTCTGAGTTTTTTAAATTGTACAGTTGAAACCAAAATTCTTCAAATGGAAGTTTAAGCAATTCTGCCTTTATAGACAAATTAGATATATTTTTATATTCATCACTTATCAGCTGGACATTTTTTAAGTACAAATGCTTAAATTGATGTAGTAAAGGTGTAATAAACGGACTTTCATTTACGACAACTGTCGGATCGATTAATCCAAAATGCTTATAATTTTCCTCCAAATTTTGGAAACGAACTTTTATTTGTAACGAAAGCTCGACATAGTAGCTTAAACAATTGTTCTTAAAAGCGATCAATGTATTATTATCCAAATTCAAGTCTGCTAATAGCAGCGCAACCTCTTCCCCTAAATATACTTGTCCATCTCGTAAATAATTTCTTACAGCCAGTGGATTAATGTTGGGCAGTGGTGTTTGATCAACATAATTTTTGTGCATAAAATTTTTTAAAATACTTTTGTAAAGAGTACTTATTCTGTCATATATCAAATAAAGCTTTGGCTTTTCTGATTGGAATTCCAAATTAATTCTATTAATTGTTGGAAGAATAAAACTTAAAAATTGCAAATAAAGTTTGTAGACTGGCTGGTTTTTCAGAATGTCTAATATATTTTGCGGGGTGATTAGATCATCTTCGGCCACTTCAGCAGTGATAAATAATTCTAATGCATTCCATTGCTCCAGTATTCGATTTACGACTGCCTAAAATTTAAGATTTATAGAAAACTGTTTACGAATCTATTGAACATACCTCTAACGACAACCAACGAGTTTGACTTATTTTCAGTAACTTGTGAGGTTTAACATCAACAAATACTTGAAACTCTTTAAAATCTTTAAGTCTAACACTACTTCTGCCGATGTAATTATAAATGTCCCTCACAAATTGCTCCAGTTGAGGAGGAAGCTTTTTAGCTGCATACGATGCACACAAATGCATATAGAGTGGCAAATGCAGCCAGTGACGAATATATTTGGATTAACTGTTCTAAGCTTCGCCTTGACACCACCAATATCACCCATCATAACTGAACAGTTATCCCCTCCATAGCCAATAATATTTTCACTAGGAACATTTAAACTTTTAAAGGCGTCTAATACAGAAGAAGTGATTCCTTCAGCTGTGCAATTTACTGGCTCTATAATTGTTAATAATTTGTCCTGAACTTGTTGACAATTGTCAACGTATCTTACAACCACAGCAAGGCATTTTCTTACTGAAATATCTGTTGTTTCGTCCAGAATTATGGAAAATTTGCGCTTTTGTAATTGACTTATAATATCTTTTTCTGCTTCTTTTCTCAAGAGATGCACTAGTTTAACGGTTTTTGTTCGTGAGCATTTTATTTTATTAACTATTTGTGAATCAGGAACTGCTGTTGCTAATACTTTTGGCAAATGATCCATGAGAACAAACGGAAGATTGTGTTCTACCAAACACATAGTTAAGCATAGTTCTGCCTTACGAACTCTCATACTCTCTGTAAGCTGTTCGAGTTCTTTTTTTTTTAACAGTTCACTAACATTAGGTGTTTTTTTACAATAATCAACATTTCTTTTGTGACCATCTGTCATTTCATGCCTTTTTAAAAGAGTTTGCGAACCTTTCAAAGTTTTGTTGCAATACTTGCAAAAGCTCAAGCCGTCCTTATTTTTCAACCATGAAAACATTGATAGCCTAAACTGTCTTGTGTTACTACGTCGTTTCTTCTAAAAAAAAAAAAGATAAATACAATCTAAGCAAAGCGTAATTTAAGTTTACTGCTGGTGTAGGTTCCTGGCCCTTATCTGACTCCTCAGGGTCGCTTTCTTTTTCTTTCTCTGATTGTAAACTGTCATCTGAATTAGCATAATCCGAGAGATTTTCTAAATTTGTGGGAATGACTGATTTTGCTTGATTTACTGGAATATCCAACTCTTTCGAACTTGAAGTAGATGGTAAAGTTCTAATCAAAAACCTATAATACAGGCAATTAATAAATCAAAATTAAATGTCTAGGAACATGTATATAAATAAAATTAAGCATACAATGCTATAACAAGTAATCTAAAGATGAATGACATGTGTCTTACCTAGATTAGACCTACGCTGGCCTAGCCAAGACACCAATAAGACACACTACGATGTCATTCATTTCTAGACGCTTGTTATATGATAAAACTTACTTGTCCATTAAATTTATATTTCTTTTCCACTTTACGAAGCACGAAACGAAACAAGCTAACAAGCATGAATTGCTAACAAAACCGCTGAATCAACAAAATTGACCTCATGGTGTTCGGCACGTGTTCGGTGTTGGTTTCTAAATCTAGTTACATTTCATGTGGTAACTTTGCGCAGTCGTGCGCCTGAAATGCGCGCGAAATCATACGTAGCATAAACATGACCAGACAAAATGTTAGGACTAGGTCATTCTAAATTTTACTCTGGACTTTAGAAATCGCCCTTATTGTATTTATTATTCATTTACATTACATAAGATTAAAAAAAGTACCAAAAATGTATTAAGAGTATCACAGTACCATTTTTTAAAGAAAAGTATCAATATGGTACTATAGTATCACAACTGGCAACACTGATTACAATTCCAATCTCGGCACCCGCCACCCGTTATCTGGCATGCAGGCGACGAAGCGAAAACGAAGTTCAACGGGAGGCTACGAAATTTCAGGCCTCTTTAAAAAAAAGAAACATGCACCTGTATGTCTTCCTTTTCGCTGTAACAGACCGTACTGCGCATGCCTCATCTGTGCTCATACTAATTGCGCTGGCTTTGAAACATATTAAGTGTCGGCACATTTTTTTAACAAAGAATCTTTTCACTAGGAAGAAAATTACATCGAAGTAATGATTGTTAATAAATAGAAAAAACAAATTAAAAAAAAATCGCTTAAATTTAGTAAGTGAGGCCCGACCTCAGTTGCCTCACCTGACGAGCCGCCACTGACGTGAAGTGAAACACTATAAATATAAGATCTAATTTTGCATTTATTAAGTTTTGTTTAAATAATTTAACTATAAAGCAGATAAAACATGAATTCTCACAAGACTGTTCAAGAAAAGTGGATCAATCCTGCGAAAAGAGAATATATTCCAGTTGAAGGGTTTACTCTCACAGATCAATTTAAACAAGCAAAACATCAAATTGATAATTTTGAAGTTAGCGATAATGATATTTGGATTTCTACCTTTCCTAAGTCAGGTAATTTTTTTTTTAATTTTCACATACTGTAAGTTTTGATAAAGGAATCACTTGGACCCAAGAAATGGTGTGGATGATTTTTGATAATTTGGATTTTGAAAAAGCAAAAGAAGATTTAAATGAACGATCTCCATTTTTGGAGTAAGTTTCTGTTTTTTTTAAGCCATACCTAACACACTGATTAATTCTCTCTTTATGAACTGTTTATTACAGAATAAGTACCCTAAAAGATTATCAAAATCTGATGAAAACCTGTACGGATTTTAAAATACCAGCAAGTCTATTAGACTCTATAAACTTTGTCAAATCTCAAATAGGACCAAAGGTAGTTAAAACACATTTACCTTGGGAATTATTACCAAAACAAATTCAAAACGGAGTTAAAAAACCAAAGGTATGTTACTTACTTTTTACGTACTTTTCATCCATTATAAACATTGTAGATTATTTATGTCGCTCGAAATCCAAAAGATGTTTGTGTCTCTTTTCATAACCACGAACAGTTGATAAACGGTTACAGCGGCACTTTTGACGAATTTTGTGAATTGTTTCTTGCAGGAAAAGGTATAACATAATTTTGTTCCATTCCACTTCACTACTATTTGTTTTCTCTTAGTATTATATGCACCATACTGGCAGCATGTTTTGACGTATTGGAAAATGAGGAACGCTCCAAATTTCCTTTTCCTAAAATACGAAGATATGAAAAAAGATTTACGCAAAGTGATACAAAGCGTTTCCGAGTTTCTAGAACGTCCCTTGAACGATCAACAAGTTGACATTTTGCTTGTGCACTTAAGTTTTGAAAAAATGAAGCAAAATCCCGCGGTTAATAAAGAAGACATGATTAATATATTTAAAAAACATAATTTGACAAATTCCGACGGAAGGTTTTTCAGGTCTGGAAAAACTGGTGATTACAAGGTTATAATGCCATCAGAAATGATAAACCGATTTGATGAATGGATTCAAAGAAATACAGAAGGAAGTTATTATGTGGTGTAAAATGACCATTACATTTTCTGTAGTAATATCATAAGTGGTAAAATTTTGTGGACAAAATTTTCAGATTGGCAGAGAGTTTGTTGCATAGCAATTTATCGAGAGACATTGTTAGAAAAACCTCGAGTCGCAGACGAGAGGTTTTTGAACAATGTCACGTGCTAAATTGGCAATAAAAACTCGAGTAAATCAATCGAAAAATTTTGTCAGACCAAAGTTTACCACGAATGGTATTCGGAGGACTATTTCATGAATAAAACTACACATTCAAGTCTACAACTATTTATTATAAATATTAAATGTACAATTATTGTAAACCATTTTGCTGGAAATGTCGTTATTTTCACTTCTGACAGACGTTTTATGAGTTTCTGGCTGTATTGTTGGTGAGGTACCTACCTCGAAGCTCTCTAAACGCCCAGTCTTGTAAAATTTCTGCTAGACGATTTATTGGAGTATCGGCAGTCAGCTCATAATTTCTTTCTTCGCAGAATTGAGAGAATTGTTTCCATGTACAAGCCTTCGTTTTGATCTGTTTTGAGGAACACTTATTGAACTTGCAAGTGTAATGTCAGGAATTGATACATTCCGAAATCGCGTGTTTTTATTAATTTTTCAAATTAACTGAAATAACTGTCAAAATATTTAAAACGACAGAAGTTGTTTAGACTGTTACCATGTTGGTAAAATTTTATCATTTATAATTACACGAGAGCTTTTTTTTCGAAGTTTTAGTGAGAATTTTGTTTCCTGGCAATTTAACGAAAAAAACTGCTTCTGAAAAAATTACGAGTCCGTAGGGCGAGTAATCGAGTAATACGAGATTTACTTCGAAACTACGGGGTTTCGGGCTGTTGAATGACTGATCCTTTCCTGGAACTGTTTCTCCTCTTGCATTAGATTTTAGTTATAATTGTTAATTCACTTGATATGATTTAATGTCACTTGAAAGCTTATTCATTAGGAATAAGTTGTTTGTTTATTTTATCTTGTATTGGATTTTGCTAGTAGGATTTGAATTATATTGTTCGTTCGTTTTAAACTAGTACCTACTTCATTCAGTTAGACAATAGCTCCATGAATTCGGAAGGTGTAACCTTAAGTATGAACAAAGAAGTATAATGTTTTATCTTTTATTTTATTTTCTTTCATTTTATTTTATAATATTTTCTAAACTTATATTGTTTAATTAATTAATAAATAAATTGTTATTGTTAATTTAAATACTTGGATTTCTGACTGCTTAATTCCTTCATCTTCCCAAAGTGATTGGCTCCACAAAATAACGCTGGAGAACCTAACTCAAGTAAATTTATTCTTCTTTTGGCGCAACCCGTTCGGATCGTAAAAGAATTAAACTTTTATCAAAGCGTCTTAAACACCCGCCACATATTAAAAACACAATTCTCATAAACAATTTGATTTTCAGAAATTTCTTGTTTCTTGTTAATAGTTTGCTGCATGCTGGTATTTTGAGCGGTGGTACTAACTGTTTCCTGGATGGTAGTACGAATGGACCCAATAATGTCTCTATGATGTTCTTGATCTAACTGAAGGTACGGTTTTAATGACGATGGATTGTTATGTCCCGTAATTTTCACAAGTTTTTGTTCACCTATACCACTTCCGGACAATTCCGTTAGGGCGGCAGCTCGATTAGAATGGTTCGTAATTTTCACCCTCTTGACATCAAGTCCAATACTTTTCGCTGAAGATTTGGTCCATTTAGAGATTTCATTTGTCAAATTGACGTACTTGAATTCACAGTATTGCGAGGCACATTATTGTTGATGGCTTTTTCAATTTCTCCACTCGAAGATTCTCCAAAGCGCGACATTTTCACAGATTAGATACTGAAAACGCAAGTTTGTGAAAAATTTGTTTAAATTTTTTTATTTTTTTTTTTTTGTTGTCTAGGGACCGATGATGCAGACCTACTAAATTCAGACGCTTTCAAAAGCTAGGTTCCGTTTTGTCGCTGTAATAGTTAGGGCAAACTTTTGTCGCTGGCATAGTGGCAAAAACCCCATGGCTTATGAGATTTTTAGTGTATGAAAAAAATTGTCACTTGAAAACTGGCTTTGTGTCGATTTTGTTCGTAAATATCCTTCACTCATTGGCTCTAAATATGAGGTGAAGGCGATAAAATTTTGCTGTCATCAATTTTATTGATTGAAATTTTTTACTCATTGTTGAATGACGAGATGCTATTGGCCGAAATGTAAATGTATGAAATAGTCATACAGTAATATTAAACAGATATAAATTTATTCTGTCATTCACGTTTCTATGTACAAAATGCACTTACCATAGCGTTTACTTTTAAGTTTATATAAAACGTTATGATCTAAAAACTGTATAGAACTAGCGTTGCCATAGGGAATTTTAATATTATAAACCTGTCTTGTAACACATTTATATAATGAATTTTATTCTGTTAGTATTCAAAGTGCTTATCAGTACGTGTCTGTATAGAGTGATTTTGAAATACACAACTTGTAAATCCTATCTTAAAGGCATTATTAGCAATGAAAAAATTATCGTTTGTGTAAATATACAGGGATTTCATTTCAAAAGGATTTAGTCTCAATAACTTTTGATATTGGTATTTTTCTACCCCCACATATAAAACACGGATTATCCTATATGTTTCCATGATGCTAAGTGACTTTTTATACACACCTTAACAAGCCGTGACCAATATGCGTCCAAGTCACGTTGCTAATAGCAACTGTCATATTAGTCACGGGCTGAAGTTAGCTTTCTGTAATTTTAATAATTTTTTGTGTGTGAATCTGGCTGCACAAAACGAAAATGTTGAGAAAAACGCCACAACGCGACGCGAGCAGCAAATTTTTGATCGATTGTAATTTAAATTTTGCCAGCAAGAAAAATATTATTGCTAAGTCCACTGAGGTGCTTTCTGTCAGTTGTCATTTAGACGGGGTGACGGCGCTGGGGTTTTTGTGAAAAATAATTTTAAATGAAAGTGAAGATGATGTTTTTATTGTAATTTGCACCCCACCAGAGATCACCAAAGCAGCGGCCTCGGCCACAGCTAGCTTGCTGCCGGAAAAATCAAAAAGTCAGTACCTACTAACCTGCGTATAAACCGCTGCGCTTCGCTCGTGCCTAATAAAACCCACGTCTAAAGTGGCGTTTATAACACTATAGTACGCGCGGCCAAGCTACGGAGCAATAAAAACGCGTGATCAGTGCGTGCTCCAGCTAAGCTCCAGCCCTTCTTACAGTGGCACATTTTGTAACTCTTGTTCTCTCGGTGGCTCTACCGCTCCTCTTTTTGTCGGTTACAACAGAAGCCGATATTGCCGGTCGTCATTTTCGCCATTTCGCCTTGTGCTTTGTCTTTTTGTGTTCTCCTGTTCTTTTTGTTCTTATTGTTATTGCTATTGCAAAAATCAGTCTTTTTGAAGACTCTTCATACTTTAACAGTTTCCGAGAAGGTAGGTAACTTATAATCAATTGAGATTTATGAAAATTAATTATTGTACATGTGTTTAGGTTAGCTTTCGTTATGAACAACGGATTTTCTCCACCGAAAAAACGCCCAAGGCGTCATTTTTCTGTAGAAGAAAAGGAATCAGTTTTGAATATTTTCAAGACCTGTAAATCGGATAATCCTGAATTTTCAAAAGTACAGTCAGTTGCATTTACCGCAAAACTGCTGGTATGTACTGTCAAGCAAATCTACGTAGGTACTTGTAATTTTATAAATTTATTCTTATTACAGGAAGCTCAGTTTCTAGTGTGTACAGCATTTTAAAAGAGTATAATGAAAACGAACATTCATTTAGACCCCCCAAAAAATATCTCCGTTTGAGATCGGTACTTGATAACATCACAGAAGAAGACAAAAATTCTATAAGAAGATTAGTACATTCATTCTTCTTAAGAAATGAGCCACCGACAATACAAAAAATTTATGAAGCTCTGCAAGAACGTGAAGATCTTTCACATTTGAAAAAGACTTCATTGAGAATATTGCTCAAAGAACTAAACTTTCGGTAAGTTAAAGAAATTATTTATATGGGTATGTTAAATAATGTTGTTTTATTATTTAGATACAAAGGAAGGTCAAGAAATAGCATACTAAAAGAAAAAAATGAAATAATAGCATGGAGAAGAAAATATTTGCGGGAAATCAAAAAATACAAGGAGGCAAATAGAAAAATTTATTACTTAGATGAAACCTGGATTAACGCAGGACACACAGTAAACAAAGTGTGGTGTGACACAACAGTAACAAACCCAAGACAAGCCTTTGTTACTGGTTTGTCAACTGGATTAAGGAATCCGTCAGGAAAAGGAAGCCGCTTAATAATTTTACATATGGGTTCAGACGAGGGATGGGTAGGAAATGGGCTTCTGATGTTTGAATCAAAAAAGAGTGGTGATTATCACGATGAAATGAATGCCACGGTTTTTGAACATTGGTTTCAAAATATTTTACCAAGTTTGGAAGAAAACAGTATTATTGTGTTGGACAACGCGTCATACCATAGTCGCAAAGTGGAAAAAACTCCAAATAGTGGGACCAAAAAAAGAGATATTCGCGCGCCAAATCTGACTTTTTACGTTGTATCGTGTGAATCAAACTTTCAAACTTTCTATCACGTGAACGCCGAGTGATCACTCCGTCTCTTCGCCGCGCGAAGTATAGTTACATAATATACTTTATTCAATTTTGACGTATTAAACCGTATTTGTTAACTTTATAATAACCAAGGTAAACAATTGTTTATTCGGTAGAGTGAATTAAATAATTTTTAACTCACTAGTGATTAAAAAAAAATTAATTCACTCTTTATTAAAAATCAGATATATATGTAGAACTTGTTAGAACATTTATTTAGAATTAAAATAAAAATTACAATTATGCAAGTCACTAAAATTAAGCTTACATCCATCATTTATTAATGGATTGGATAATTCTCCATTAGTAATTCTTATGTTCTTTTTTTCATTAATTTCTGTAATACTAATACCACTTGTAGTGGCAACTTCAACATTTCTTTTTGCTTCCACTGTAACGCCAGAAGCTCCAACGCATACTTCACTTTCATTTTTTCCAAGAATTTTCTTTGAAATTTTTATTTTATTTGCAAGCGAATCCTCGATATATCCCTCCGAAACTGAATTTGAGCGCCACCCGCCGTGTCTCTTTAATACAGTCAAGTCAGCGCCAGCGTCAGCAAGAAGTGTGGCTGACGAACGTCGAAAACTGTGTCCTGTATATGGTTCCGCATTGGAAAGACCCAGAAATCCAGCAATTTTTTGTGGCATCTTTGCGAAAGTGTTCAAACCCACAGGCTGCACGGTACATTTTTGATTTTGGTAATTCAAAAACAAACGCTTATGAGTAACTTTTTCTGGCCTTAAATCCTTGTACTTGCGAAACACGTCAATTGAATGGACGAGGTTAGCACCATCAACAACAGTAAAAACCCGTGGCTTGTATGTTTTTGTGTCTGGAATCTGGACGACTAGTACGTTTCCCCTGTCGTCAATATCATCAACAGACATGCTCACCAGCTCTCCAATTCTGTACCCCCCAGCAACACCCATGATAAGGACAACCTACAATAATAAATCTTCTTGTTATTATCGTCATTTAAAAAAATCTGATCTATTACTTACTTTTAACAACAAAAATTTATCGTCAGGAGCAGTATCCAGAAACTTTTCAAGTTCTTCCCGTGTAAAAACCTTCGACTTCTTTGCCCTGTGTGCTACAGAATGCTGCTTCAAAAATGCTTTTACTTGATGGAATCTACAAACATTAATTTAGCACAAATTCTATAGTTAAACATCCACAAACCTGTTTATATCAACATTTTCCTTAACCAATAACATTTTCTTCAGCTGTGAATGGTATGACCACAATGAAGACGATTTTACAGTTTTTGATCGCTCCGAAATATACGCCAAAATTATCTTCTCGTCGACTCCTCGGGCGTTCTTTTTATTTCTCCAATTACAAAAACAATTATACTCTTTTTCATATAATATTTTGGATTTTACTGGTACTACTTTGCCTACTGCTTCTAGTGCTTCGTTCATTACATCTTCCGGAACAAAAATATCGTTATCGTCGCATATTTCTGACTTCGACATTTTTCACGAAAATGATTCACATTAAAATAATTGTTTATACCAAAATGGTTGCTAGGGAGGTGTTGTCACAACAACGTACCAACCACGACTGTCACAAACTTGATTTTTGTTGTCGTATTTTGCATAAATTCGTAATAATCTGTAAATTGAAGCTGAGTCTCGCAAAATTGAATAAAATATTGTATAAACTACGTGAGTTAAATGAATGTTTATTCACTTGAAGAATTAGCTCACTCGCGCTACGCGCTCTTGAGCTAAACTTTCTTCTCTTGAATAAACATTCATTTAACTCACTTAGTGTATAGATATCTATTAGGTTTCATCCCCTAGTCACTAACCACTCTTATTTTAAAATTTTAAAGAGCACCTCCAACTTTTTGAAACATTTTTGGAAGGGGTGGAAAAAAGCTTACCTAACCGTAAATGAAAAAAAAATATTTTGTCTATTCGTTTTTGAGTTAGGGGTAGTTTTATTTTAGAAATTTAGATTTTGATTATTTGCCATCTACTACATTTTATTAAGAAGGCGGTGGTGTCAACAATTCAGCGAAAATTTACCATTTGACAGTTCAGTAACACTTTTGTCACTTTTTATAATTTCTCGTTACTTGAAAATGGTGTACACCTTGCAAGAAAGAACGGAAATTATTTACATTTACGGGTCTCAAAACCACTGGGCTCGTCGCACTGCCAAGGTGTTCAACCAGAGGCATCTAAACAAACATGTGTCCCACAGGTATGTGATAAGTTTAGTGAAAAAATTTGAAGAAGAGGGATCTGTACACAATAAAAGAAATAGAAAACCAAGGGTTTTAAATGAAGGTGCAGTAATTGAAGTACTGGGTTACTTTAGTATGGGTCACACGACCTCCATCCCAAAAGTGGCAAAGTTGACAAACATTTCGGTCGGATCCGTACAAAAAGTACTAAGAAAGAACAAATTTTTTCCATACAAAATGCAAATTCACCAACAACTCACAGAAGACGATGCTGATAGAAGAATTCAGTTTTGCGAAATCATGTCTCTAAGAATTCAAGAGAACCCAAATCTGACATGAAATATTTGCTTCAGCGACGAATCAACTTTTTTCCTAAATGGATTAGTCAACAGACACAATTGCAGATATTGAAACAATGAAAATCCACACATATTCCGAGAGGATAGAACTCAGTTTCCCCAAAAAATTAATGTGTGGGGGCGAAAATACTTGGAAACAACATCATTGGGCCGCTTTTTATCGAAGAAAATTTTACTGGGCCATTATACCTAAATCTGTTAGAAAATGAAACTGATCCTTTAATAACCCAAACTTTAGAAAACGAAATGAATGAAGATGGTGACATGGTAGTAGAGGAACACAATTTACATTTTCAGCAAGATGGAGCCCCACCGCACTATGCAGTAGGCGTCCGACAATGGCTGGATCAAAGATTTCCTGGCAAATGGATTGGTCGGAGAGGTGCTGTGGAATGGCGGGCAAGATCGCCAGATTTGTCACCCCCTGATTTTTTTCTTTGGGGTCACCTGAAATCACAAATTTATCAAACACCCCCCCAAAATATTCAAGAATTAAGGAACAGGATTACTCAAGAATGTAGCCGAATTAGCCCAGATATGCCCATACAACCTGTGAATATTTTTTTTCAGTTTTTTGTAAAATTCGTTTATTGTTGATATAAAAACAACATATACAGGATGTTCCGTTTTTACTGTTACAAATTTAAACAAGTGATAGAATATTCAATTTTGAGACAAAAGTTTCTTATGAACATGTATCAAAAAATATTACGTAACCGAGCTACATCTTCTGAAAGGGATGCGTTTTTTAATGGGGTTTTTCACTATTGCAGAATACATAAAATTACAAAAGTTGGTACAACTGATAACATCTGAACGAATTCAAAGATCAGTTGTCATTATTTTTAATCACGGGTATCTTAAACAGTGAAACAAATTTAATTTTTAATTTTTATTTTTTTTATGGTCTGTAAAACAAATTGTAAACTGATTTTACTTAAAAACGGTAAGTTGAATAGAAAAAACGCAAGAGACCTCTTTTTTGTAGAAAACTATGAAGTTTAGAATTTTGTGGCTGAAAGTGCCGCGAACCAACAGCGAAAATAGTTAGGGTACTTTTACCCTATACCCCCCCCCCTAGTTTAGGACATCCCTGAGGAAAAATTTCGAGATTTTATCTTTGAATTCGTTTGGGTGTATAAAGGTTATCAGTTGTACCAAATTGAAATTTTATCTACAATGGTTGCTGAAATATTGGAAGAAATCCATTAAAAGATGCACCCCTTTCATTGGATGTAGCTTCCTTATTTAATATTTTTCGATACATGTTTATAGGAAACTTTTATCTTAAAATTGAATATCCTATCACCTGCTTAAATTTGTAACAATAAAAACGGAACATCCTGTATATATAAAAATAAAATCTATTTTCGAAAAAAAACAAAATAAAAATGGCGTCCTATATGTAGGACGGTGGGCACATACAGGCTGTCCCAACGGTCCGAAAAAGCTCTATAACTTGTTTATTTTAAGAGTTATTGACTTTTTCTTTTTTTTAGATTATAGCTGCGTTTTTGATGTACATTTTAAAAATATTGTGGTTTATATACAGGGGGTGTCCCAATATTAAAAAAACACTAAAGTTATGTTTTTTTAAATGGAATCTACTCAGTTTGATTTTATTTTTGGATTCTACGCTAAATTACAAATAACTTTTATAGAGGTTGTTTTCATTTATCTGTTATCAATTTTGATTTGTGGCGCTTTTTTACCAGAATTTTTGAAATGCAGCTTATATTATAAACTTTCTATTGAGATGAACAAATAATGGCCCAAGTTTTGCAAATTTGTCTGTAGTGAGATGAATTGTTGTATTATTTGCAACATGAAAATGAGACAAAATGTGTTCAAATTTATTCTGAGATATAGCTTCAGACACTAAAGTATTATGAGTGTCGGTTTCGTATTCCCAATACATACGTCTTCTTGGAAGCTGCACATAGCCACTAAGGGTGGTTTGCACCGTCCCGGATTAAAATCTCCGTTTAACTAATCGGCCTTTAGTTAGTCTCATATTAAAATTCATTGTTTCTTTTGCACCGAACGTTGGCGACCGTCGTTTAGTTAATCGGCGATGTTATTTGGCAACACTGTAAATTTATTCGATTTGACATGCGTTTGACAATTGTGGCGGCAATTGAACTAGTTTAATCAAAGTGAGAGAAAGTGAAAAGTGATAAGGAGTCACACGAATTACAGTAAGTTGGACATCTATAATTACTTCAATTATTTTAGGTTCATTTTATAACTGATATAGTTTGAAAATAAAATTAAAATAATATTTTTTTGTTTGTGTTTTCTTTCCTAGAATGGACCAAGAACCTCCCAAAAAAAGAGTGCGATCTCATGTGCCGATCCCGGCCATCGTGCAACTACATTCATTATTTTAAATTCGAATCATAAACCATTTGTATATTTACAGAAAAGTACAACTTCCTATTTCGGAATATCTCGGCATCATCACCACCTAAATTTGTAATATGCAAAACTTTAAAATATTATTGGCAATATCTATTTTTTATACCTGGACTTTGAATTTCTTATATGCGTACAATCGATAGCCCCAATCACTCGTGGGAAAGACGCTATATTGTAAAATTCTTGCTGTGTTTGTCTTATTTGATCTGGCCCATTTGGCATTTTTATAAATTGATCATATAAAGAAGCAAATGCTTCCGACACCCGTACTACAATGCGTGAGACCGTTGATAAGTGCATACCCATGTAGTCCCCTATTAAATCAAGATGACCACCGGTTGAATATAACCGCAAACATGTTAATAGCAGATTTATAGGTAATACACAATTATTGCTGTAAATCAGAAGGGACAATTTTTTACAACATAATTAATGAAGAGTACTTGGAAAAGAATTTATACATATCAGTGTGAAATTCCAGTCGATTTTCTATGAGTGGCAGAAAATATAAAACACATTCGTTTGTTAATCGAAATCTTTTACGGACGGTGGCTGCATTTAATGTATTGAAATAATCTTTTCTTTGATAAACCTGGCGCGGTATACTATGCTCAATAAGTTGTAGTACTTCAAGATCATCATCTTCAGCAAGTTCAAAATTATTCATAAAATAATTCATTGTAGGTAATTCTGTTTTTCAACAATACTGCATGACATGAAACTTATTTATTAATAACATGTGAAAAAGAGGCACAACATCATACATCGAGCAAACTGCAGACCGGTTTCGCCCTTTTGGGGCTCATCAGTGCAGTGTAGCTCGATGTGTGAT